ACCTTCTTTGCTATCAATTAAAGTGTTTACCTACTTCTCTCTTATATTCAAACTAAGTCTATATCATTTATTAAGAGAGAAGTTTTCACTTGTAATTTCAATTCTCTTCTTTTTGGATTGTGGGTCGTGTTGAGGTTCGTGAAATCTCAACGGTGTAAAAGGATAGGTGCTCCTTGATTGGAAGTCACCGGAAGCTTTGTAAATGTTGGATTGTACCATAAGTCAATCAAATATAGTGGAAAAGACCTTGCTCATAACGGAGAGTTTGGTAACGGAGGACGTAGATCGTTGATTGGATCGAACCTCCTTATTACATCGTTTGCGCTCTCTCTTCCCTTCCTCTTATTGTTTTTGTGATATCTTACTTACTTATTATTTTAATTGTTATTTGCTTAAATTTGAACTTATTTTCGAAAAAATCTCAAATAACCAATTTACCCCCCTTTTGGTTAGTTGTTCTTGGGCTGTCAATTGGGAACATAGTGAAGAACATGATGCTTTAAAGAGCATTAACCAAGCAATAAAAGACCTGATGTGAGTTATACTAATATAGAGAATAAAGATCAAAACTTTGTCAGGTACGAGAAAGATAGGTTCTAGTGCTTAAGCATTTGAATTGTTAAGTTATGTTATAGATGATTTTTTCTCGAATTTTTTTAGATGAGCAATAAGTTCACACTAGTCTCTTCTCAATAGATGAAACCTTTGAATTAAAGCATCAATTTTCTCTATTGACACTATTCGCTATGTGAGTTGAAAGGCATACGACTTGATACTGTTAAGTCTTGAGGACATGCTTATGTAATAATATTCGAGTTTGCATAAGATTTTGAATCCTAAGTATTAAATGAGCTAGAACAAAAGCATTATAGATGAGGAGACTAGAAAGGAACTAAGAAGAACATATTAGATCGTAAGTACATGAAAGTAGTTTAGGTAGAGGACCAATATTATAAAGATTCAAGTGTTTCAATCATACAGTTCGAATCTCTTAGTTCAAAATTAGTTAAGTTAAAGGATATTTCACTTGAATGTCCTTCTTAGTGTTGTTTACGTGTCAACACTATGCATATTTGACTTTATCTCGTGTAGATAATGAATCAAGAGTTAAAAATCAACTTTATATGAGATTAGGAAGTGTCTTTAGTTTATTGTCGAGTCTTTGACTTGATCGAAAATAGATGTATACAAATAATGAAGATAGAGTAGAGGTTCATATGACTGATACTATAATTTAGTGTTGCAAAGTGAAGAAACTGACCTCCTATTTAATAGTATCAAATATTACACTAAACTTGATCTTAGTTGTTCTTTTAAGAGTGGTGTCTTACTTGAACTTATATGTGGTAGTTCAGATCGTAATCATAGTGATGATGTTTAACTATGATTTTGAATATTTTTGCAATGTTTTGAGGTTTTGAGTTGAGAAAATTACTCAAAACTATAATAGTTAAAGTTTGATAGAGTAAATCCATTCGAATTTCTTTGCGAACTATGATTAAGAAAGATGGAGATGGAACTTATTTTTTGTTACATCTGTAGATGGATTCACGCACTCTACTTGTGTCTTTGATTTTTTTAAGTTGAAGATATTGTATTAATTTAGACTTTTCTGAAGTAGAGAGTCATATTATGAAAAGTGAAGACTTTGAGAACTATTTGGGAGCTTGAATCTCTATCAATAGGGTTTAGTGAACTAGGTAATGAAAGAAAAATCCTTATTGGACTGACTATTCCTTAATCACTAATAATTATAGAATAATGTTATTTGTACTCGCTCATTGCGGCAGTCGCCCTACGTGGCATATACATGGCAAATGGTTATTTAATGCATTAATGAATAAAAAAATTACCACATTAATGTATCAAATAATCACCTGCCATGTGTATGTCACGTAGGGCGACTACCGCAGTGAGCGACTGCAAATAGCATTACTCATAATTATATGGTCTATTGGATAGAAGAAATGAGATATTGCAGATGTGATGAAGTTTGAGATAATAAGTCCAATTTATGTATTTGGTTAAGTGCAACATGTTACTTAATGGAGTTTTCTTAATGTTAGTACCTTTAGAATATATAAGCTTTGGACATGTAGATAACCAAATATGGATTGTCTAAAACTCATAAACGACTATATAAGTTGTTTGGACATTAGAGATAATCGTCTATATTTTGTGCAATCCAATGTATAATTTTTCAAATTCGAAATAGCAAATTAGGTTTCACTTTTTCTCATTTGAAAATAGGCTTAACTTCATATTATTACACAATTTATTAAGCATAAGTTGGATTAAAAGTGAGATTTTAGGAAACGGTGGAGTTGGATTCGTACCACAACTTTTTTACTTGATTTTTCTTTTGCACTACACATTTACATTTAGTTACAAGGCGTAGTTAAGTTCAACCATCTATTGAGGTGATTCAATTTAAGTTTGAATTGATGAAAATTAAGCTAAATTCTAAAAAATTCGTGGGAACGTTATTCTTTTACTTATAATTATTTTTACTTGTCAACGTATTCGTACCCTTGGAGAAATTCAACTGAATAAGGATCGGTTCCAAGGTAAAATTTTGGTTCCAATCCGTGAAGGATTGGACTTGATAGAAACTTCTGTTATCTTTATAGTACCTTCGTTCTCCAGTACATCTCTAATGAAGTGGTCAATCCTACTACGAAGACTGAATTTCTACTTAAACTTATTGCACTCTTATTGTCAAAATACAATGTAACACCATGCTCGACAAAGCCCAATACACCCAGCAAGCCCTTTAACTAAATCTCTTATTTAACTACCTCCATAGCATCTATATATTTTGAATCAGTATATGATAATTACAATTCTTTTCTAACTATGTTTCCAGCTAACAAAAGTATAGCTTTAATGGTGTACATTAGTACATATATATGCAGAAGCAGATTTTTTTGTTATCATGATTACCAGCAAAATTAGAATCAACAAAACCTTTTAATTAAACTATTTAATCTTTACTTTTCATTAAACATTAAACATAAATCTAAGGTACATTTTAAGTACCTCGTTAGCCATTTCTTGGTTTTTGAATAATTTACTCGTCAATACTGGCAAGCAGGCCGAATTTTCATGATTCTTTCTGAATCGAGTAGGGTTTCGTCAATCTCATTTTTTTATTTTTACTTCTACCTGTTTAGTTTTGAATTTGGGTTTTGTGAATCTTAGTTGAATTCCATAAAGAACAATTTGATTGGACTGACTACCTTATCAATTTGGCGATTTAATTACCATATAAAGCAGAGAAATTTCTCCCTTCCTTTAAAAGAAAAGAAAATTTTACTTGGCATACAAGTTAAATAATAATAATAATAATAATAATAATAATAATAATAATAATAATAATAATAATAATAAAGAAAAATAGAAGAGTGAAAAGACAAAAGTGATACAAACAAACAGAAATGGAGCAACAAATAAAAGGGAGAAAAAAAATTTGTTGGTTGGACATCATATAAACTCGTACTTTTAACATTAAAGTTGTACTTTTTTAAAAATGACTGATTTTATATGTATCGGTGCGTACATTACAATAGGTGGTGGTAGATGATGGTCGGTTACAAAATTTATTACATGACCTATTGTAGTGTGTTACGCCATCTCTTGCTTAACATAAGCTAAGCATTAATTTTTAAGAGATCAAATTTCCTACTTAAATGTGATTTTTAATATGTTTGTGCTACGTAAAGTTAATTATACAAGTAGAAAAACACATATTTTGTGGACATCAAACGAGCTCTATCAACATTCGTATTATATATATATATATATCATCAAGCAAGAAATAATGTCAATTTTTGTGACGAAATTGTTATTTGTGATTAAATGAAATGAGTTGAAACTTAAATGATGATTTTAAAAACAAAAGTCGAGTTACTAAAATAAATTTTGTTTGAAATTGAGTAATCTCTAGGTTTTCGTATCCTTTTGCCTCCAAACTAATAAGAGAAACCAATTAAATATAATTATAGATTAAAAGATAAATACAAGAGGAATTCAAAGTTTATCAAATGTACTCTATTTTCTTAAATAGAATCCTTATTTGCTAAGAATACATTAAACAATATTACCTAAAAAACAGCTAAACAAAATAAGAAAACCGGTTTTCACTTATTACAGATTAATAAATAAGAATCTAAGGATTTATTAATTATTACGTGGAGAGTTACATAAAATATAAAAAAATAACAATAATTAATTAATATTTTAAATATTAATGCACAATTCTAAAATAAAAATATTTCTATTATTATACATGGAAAATTTAACCTTTATACCAAAATAGTGAATGCAGTATAAAACTCAAACTTAGATTTTCCAAATCAAATGCAAGATGCTGAAAATATTACCCTACTTAAATATAGTAAACGAGATGATTAGAAGAGACAAAACATAGAATAAAATTAGTCAGAATTTCTCAAAAAGGGTAAAAATTGCAATAATATTTTGATGCCTCCTTTATATATATTTTTAAAAAATTCAAAATATTTACTGGTTGTATAATTTTGGAGAAAAATAGGGTTAAGTTTCCTAACCTTTCAGGTCATGTGGTTTTTGGGTCCTCCAACTTTCAAAACGAGGTTTTAAATCCACAAGCTATTTAAATTTGTGAATTGATGTCCCAACGTGACGTAAAGTGTCTATTTATATCTTAAGCTATTTAATAGTTTTGACTTTCAACTTTAAAATCATGTACGATTTGTTGTACATCGATGGCTTCTGTCATATAAAAACTCAATATCACATATTTAAATAAATTGAGGAGCCAAAACCTCACTTTTGAATGTTGCAAACCCAAAATTACACTATTTGTACACTAATTTTTCAATATTTTTATAGCACTAAAAACATTAAAAAGTGGAAAGTGGGACCTACTGTATTACCACAATACAAGCAAAATTTTGCAGTAGGAGAAAGAAGAGTTTTACACTGAACAAAATAGCCATGCAAAAGGAAAAGCTTGCCGTTTCAAAGCCATTTGGGGCCTTAAAAATAACCTAACGTCTTTGCCTCTTTGTATTTCTCATTCTCCCAATTTTATAAACCCTCCTTTTTCAGTTTTTAGACAAAAAAAAACCCCCTTCAAAAAACCCCATTATTTTTGTCTCTCTGTATACATGCAAGTATTTGTATCTATAGTTTAAAGAACAGGAGAGACCAGAGCCAGAGAGATTATAGTCGATTTGGTGTTTTGGAGATCTCAATTGTCCATTTTTCCGGGTTTTGGGAGAGAAAAAATGGGTCGAGGCAAGATTGATATCAGGAAGATCGAGAATGTTAACAGTAGGCAAATCACTTTCTCAAAGAGACGCACTGGCCTGTTAAAGAAGGCACATGAACTGGCTGTTCTTTGCGAGGCAGAGGTTGCGGTTATAATTTTTTCCAATACGGGAAAGCTTTTCGAGTTTTCCAGTTCCGAGTATGCACTCTAATGCTTTTCAATTTTTGCCTTTCGGATTCTGTCTGAATTTTTGAATTGGGATCTCACTGATTTGTTGCATGTGTATTCTTGTTATTATTTGATTTTATGCTTTAATAGGGATTTAATAAACTTTATTTAATCACTTGATGCGTAATTTTGAGTTTGAAGTTGTTTAAATGCTTGCAAATTTTAAGCGTTTGCTTTCGATTGTTAAATTATGTTTTTATTGGATTTTCATATGATTTGACTTCGTTTAATTCATTTTGCGATAAATTAGAGAGGATCTTATTGAGTTTTCCAGTGTTTTATTTGTTTTAGGTATTAGTTATAAATTTTATTTTTGAAATAATTAATCTGGGGTGCCTCATTCTCTGCTAATATCTAAGTTTTCGAAACTTTTTACCTCAAATTCATTCCTCGCCAGAATTGAGTGAGAGTGTGTAGCAGTCCAGTATTAATCTAGTCTTTTTCTGCAATTTTCTGTGCTTCTTTTAGAAAGATGCCATAATGTAGTAGGTTTGAAATTTTGAAATAAAGATATTATCTGGAGAATAATGACAATATTGTCGGTGGATGTGACAAAATGAGTTAGTCATCTTCATTTAATGAGCTGGTCAATATGACGAAAGGAGTTAATCCATACATACAAGAGGAGTTGGTCCATTCAGAATACTATCCCTTTAATTGGATGTAGTCATTTAAAATTTTGAATTTAATTGTGTTAATCGTGGATACCTGAGGAGGTTTGAAATTTTGAAATAAAGATATTATCTGGAGAATAATGACAATATTGTCGGTGGATGTGACAAAATGAGTTAGTCATCTTCATTTAATGAGCTGGTCAATATGACGAAAGGAGTTAATCCATACATACAAGAGGAGTTGGTCCATTCAGAATACTATCCCTTTAATTGGATGTAGTCATTTAAAATTTTGAATTTAATTGTGTTAATCGTGGATACCTGAGCGAGAATGGAACATTTTCATGCATTTGGACAATTTGGTTATGGCCTATATTTTCACTGCTACCTTATAATAGTTTTTGAGTCCAAATAGAGCAGAGAAATGAGGATACTGGTCAATTTTTTTGCATTTACAGGGAGCATGAGTATAAATATAGTTCAAGCTTTAACGACTAATTTAATTCCACCTCATCGATATCGCCAAAATCAATTGATGCGTATTAGTATCAACTGTCACTTTTATATTGAACGTTATGTGTGATTAACAGTATGAAAATTTCTCTGTTATTGCAGCATGAAGAGAATACTTTCGAGGTACTACGAGTGCCGGGGTCCAATTGAGGTTCTCACACCAGCAGTCAATCCTGAGGTATTCTAAATTTATTTTATGTAGTTGTTCCTTTGCAGTACGCTTGCTCCCCCCCCCCCCCCCCCCCAATTCTCTGTCCATAAATCTGATCTTTCTGCTGAATTTGGGACTGAATGGAGTTTTTATGAGGTTTTCACATATCAACTTCAGATGATGTTCGTAAAAGTAAATGAAGATATTTTACTGTACATCACATGTTTTGCTCTCACTTTTATGTAAGGATGATTTCCTATCGATTAGTCTCACTAATAACTTTTTGTTCCCTCTTATTTAACCTGAAACAGGAACCCAAGGAGGTGGACTTGCTCAAACTCGAAATGGAAAAGCTTACATCAAAGCATAGGTTGATTTCCTAGAGTAATCAGAATGTCAATTATAAATTGCATATCTGAAGTTAATTAAAAGTTTTTGGCCGTGATTATTTAGGCAATTGTTGGGTAAAGACCTCACCGGGATGAGTGTACAAGAACTGGGTGCACTCGAACAACAACTCAATGAAGGCTTGTTAAGCATAAAGGAGAGGAAGGTTAAGCATTTTCATCCTACTTTTACTTGTACGAATTAGTTAATTAGCTTTTACATTGGAAAATCGGAATACAATCGCCCATAAATATCTTAGTTCTTAAGACTCTGGTTTTGTAACAAATGTTCTTCATTTTCAGGAGAAACTATTGCTGCAGCAACTAGCACAATCCAAAATGCTGGTATGCAAAGTTCATGACTTTTATCTAGTTTGAGCATTCTGTAGAGGTGGAAGTAGAATTTCCAAGTGAGGGAAAGCAAATCATATCTGGCAATGAAATAGAAGAATTGGATCATGTATCATACTGAGCGGAATTGATGAACTTGGTCATGGAATTGGGCTCAAGAATATTTTGACATAATTTATCCCCCTTAAAAAGTTTCTAATTTACATTTTTTGCAGGAAAAACAAGCCATTCTGAAAAACGAAGCTTTACTCAAACAGGCAATCCAAGTTTTCGTTTATTTAACAAATAATTCCCCACTGCAGGCTTTTAGTTATGAATTATGCCTAAAAACCTTATATTGGTTTAATATGCGACGCAGGTAGAAGAATTTAAAGGTTTCTTTGCATCCACTGGACAATTGGCACCGCTTGTCATAAACGACACTCCCATGGAAAAGAATGATTCTGAGAGCAAAGGAGGTTCTGGTAGTCGTGAAACAGAAAATAGCTGGCTCGATGATGAAATTTACGACACCACTTTGACCTTGTGGTATTTTGCACCTCTTCCATCTTGCATAGCATTAAGTTTTACTTCACGAGTTCTGGTTCAGATTATACGAAACTTCTAAATTATTTTCTGTCCATTTTTTCTTCTATATTTACACTCACCTTCTCTTTTACAGGCCAACATCCAGTGTTTGTCGAAAAAGGAAGATGTCTAGTGGTGAAGCTAGTACAAGTAACACTGAGACTTAAGGGCCCATTGCGATCCTTCTCCTGTTGTATACTATCCTTCTGTGCAATAGGATTAAGTGGACAGAAATCAATCCAGTTTAGTGTGCTCAAAGTTATGTTGAAGCTACCTTTAATTACTTTTTTCTTCTTGCAACTGGACTTTTGTTTTTTCAATTTTATTTCAGACGATGTCCTTTATGGATCTCGACTTCGAGATCGAGAAATTACTAGTTATATAGGTACTGCAGGTGTTGAAGCTGCAGCAATCTTTTCATTCTGCAATGAGATTAGTGTGCAGCCGGGTACTTGGTGTTCATAATTTTGTTTCTTTTCTTGCCTGTCCGCTCTATATCAGACTAGTAAGTGTGTTGCACGTTTTATATATCAATAAATGATATACTTACTATTTTTGAATTACTAATACCATTTTTTAAAACAATATATATAATTGATATTGTTAAAGGGAAAATTACAATTGTGTGTGTGTGTGTGTGTGTTTAAGTTTTTATGAAATTATATATATAATGTGAAAATGTTGAATAAACTAAAAATGTAATGATATGATTACAATAATACTTTGTACATAATAATTTTTTTTTAGTGATCGAATGTCCCAATTAATATATTAATGCAATCTATACCACATTTTTTACCTCATTAATACATTAATGCAAATTTTCAATTTTGTAACCTCAAATAAATAATAACCTCATGGATGGACAATGTCAATCATGAAGATTAATAAGAGCTTTGTTGATGAAAATAAAAAATTACTTTGTTGATGAAAATAAAAAATTACTTTGTTAATGAAAAATAAAAACTAAGTGGATGAATTATAATGTAAATCATGAAGATTAATAAGAATTTTGTTGATGAAAAATAAAAAATTACTTTGTTGATGAAAAATAAAAATTGTAAGAACAAAATACTCAATTGACTGATAAGTCACTAAATTTTCATTGTTTTTTTTTTAATAATTGAATGTCAGTTTCACTCCTTATATTAATTCAAATCCAAATGATAAATATCAATTAAATATTTCACTACTTATATTAATTCTAAATCAAAGGATAAATATAAATTAAATTGGTTATAAGGGCTTTGTTGATGAAAAGAAAAAAATCAATTGAATGTTAGGCATTGAATGTTCGTGTGTAATTTCTTTTTTATTCATTGAATGTCCTCATTAATATATTAATGCAACTTTCAAAATATTTGTAACCTCAATCAATAATAACTTAATAGATATGAAGATAAAAAAATTGCTCTATTAATGAAAAATAAAAACTCATGATTGCATTAATTATAATATAAATCTTGAAGATTAATAAGGGTTTTGTTGATTAAAAAAATTGATTTTTTGGTGAAAAATAAAAATTGTAAAAGCAAAATGGTCAATTAAATGGTAAGCCACTGATTTTATTATTATTATTATTATTATTATTATTATTATTATTATTATTATTATTATTATTATTATTATTATTATTATTATTTTGATATATTTGAATGTTAGTTTCACTTCTTATATTAATTCCAATCTAAAATGAAAAATATCAATTAAATATTTCACTCCTTATATTATATTAATTCTAAATCAAATGATAAATACTAATTAAATTAGCATTCCAATTATGAGGGTATAGTGGGCATATAGTTGAATATGTAGAGGTAAATTTGGTATTTAAAAGTTTCTCCACTATCCCCACTTTTAATATATTGTAGATGAACTTCAAACACATGATATAAGTTCTTACAGGCAACTATATGATGAACAATGAAACTAATCTTTGTAACGTGAACAATTAGTTCTGGACAGCTTGCTCCGATTTTTATAAATTTTCCTGTTGGAAGGAGGAATGATACGCACAATTTCAGGACCTTTCTTTGTAGAGCTGTATTAAGCCCTCGTTTGGTAGAAAATTTTCATCCCAAAAAAATTAATTTTTTGACCGTTATTTCACTATTGTCATTTTTGACTTCTTCACTCACAGGTGGGACCCACTTTTCTCTCTAACGATCAAAAAATCAATTCTTAATGCAATAGAGAACGAAGAAAATTTCATGAATAAGTGGGATACTATCGAAAGAATTAATTTTTTGGAGTGTTCATTCTGAAGAATTTTGTATCTATTTTGAGTGAAAATGACCCAGCGAGCAAAATTGCTTTCTTTCTCCCTGATTTATTTCTCATTTCGGCCAAATTTTGTTGTTTAGGATGTGTTTTTCATTTTTCTGGATAATTTTATTAATTTTAATTAAATTAGGGCTATTCTATTTAGAGTTAATCGTTATCTTTGATTTTTATTATTATCTAGAATTAATCATTATTTAGAAATTCAGTCATTATCTAAATTTTAATTATTGCTTTAAATATGAGCTGTAAACTTAAATGACCTTAATTGAATTTGATTATAATAGTCTTGAAAAAGTTTCTCAAAAATATTCTCTTTCTTGACATTCGTTAGCGAATAAACAAATTTGTGATATGGAAAAAAGAAGAAAATGGAAGAGAATAGAGAGAAGTTAATAAACTTTTATGTGTTTTATTAAGTACCAAAACCTTATATTTATAGGTAAGAATCAAGGACACGATGGTAACAATTTATAGGGCTGTAGGGGTAAAATTTTCATTCATTAACAAACCCTAATAAACTTACCATTTATGACACTTTCTTTGAACCTTGAATGATACGTTACAAAATATTTGTTTCGTCAAAATCTTGTTTGATAAAAACCCAATAGGAAAAAATCAAACGAAAAAAAAAGAGTATAATTATTTTGGAGAATTAAAAATAAAAGTTACCTCATTAAAACCTTGCGAAGAAAATCCAATGGGATAAAACCCATGTGAAAGAAAAAGAGTATTTCTCCTCTTCCAGGTGTTGATGATTGAAAATTTTTGATTCGACGAATTCTAATCGCATTAATTAATTTCTTAAATGTAGATGTTGACAATACTTTTGTGGATAAATTGGCCATATTGTCACTTGTGCGAATTTGTTGGATGCCATTCTTTTGAAACTCATGTGTATGAAAGAATTTTGGGGAAATATGTTTCATCTTGTCACCTTTGATGTAGCCTCCTCTGAATTGTGCAATACAAATTGCATTGTCTTTATATAAAATTGTTGGATTATCTTTTGTTGAAGTTAACCCGCATGATGCTTGGATGTGATGGATCGTGTTCCTTAACCATACACATTCTAGGCATGCTTCATAGTTTGAAATAATTTCATAATATCTTGAGGATGTTGCTATCAAAGGTTGCTCCACAGATCTCCATAATATAGTGTTCCCTTACGTATAAACGCATATCCGATTTATGATTTAACTTTATGTGGGTTAGATAGATAACCTGCATCTACGTATCCCACTAAAGTAGATCCAGACTTTTGAAAATAAAATAATCTTAAATCAATAGTATCCTTTAGGTAAGTTAATGCTCCAATTTCATTAAGATATGATACTTCAGGACCAAAAACCTTTACTCCATCTTCAAATGGATGAAATGTATCATTTTTCACATTAAGTGAACGAACAACCATTGGTGATGCCAATGGATGTGCATTATCCATATAAAAATATTTTAAAACTTTTTCTACATATGTAGATTGATGAATAAATAATCTATCTGTGAAATGTTCAATCTGCAATTTGAGATAAAATTTGATTTTTCTTAAATCCTTCATCTTAAATTCATTTTTCAAATAATCAATAGTTTTGTTGAACTTTTCAGGAGTTCAAAGTTCTAATTAAATTTAAATCATCAACATAAACTGCTACAATTATAAATCTAATATTTATTTTCTTTATGAAAATATACGGGCAGATATCGTCATTTTTATAATCATCCTTCAACAAATATTCGCAAAAGCGATTATACCACATCCATCCGTTGTTTTAATCTATATAATGATCTTTACAATTTAATTGAGAACGTGGTTCTCGGGCATGTATCGTTTGTTCTTGGCACCTTAAGTCCTTCATGGACTTTCATATATACGTCACTAACAAGTGAATCGTACAAATATATAGGTACTGCATCCATAAGGCATATATCAAATTTTTGTGACACAGTCAAACTAATTAAAAATCTAACAATGATAGTGTCTATTATAAGAGAATATGTTTCCTCATAATCAACTCCTGGTTTTTGTGAGAAACCTTGAGCTACTAGTCAGGCTTTGTATCTTGTAAATTTATTATTATCATTTCTCTTTCATACGAAAACCTATTTGTATCCTATAGGGATTACATTTTTAGGTGTTCAAACAACAAGTCTAAACACTTTTTGTTTCTCTAAAGAATCCAATTCCGCATGTATAGTTTCTCTCTGTTGGCCAGTCATTTCTATTTTGATAGTCTTTAAGTAACTGTGGTTCAAGATCTTTATTTTGCATAATATCAAGAATCAACGAAAATATTATTTATAACAACATTATTCCGGTCCCATAATTCATGATATAGCATATAATTTATTGAAATCTCATTATTTCAGACACTTGTGGTTATTCAAAAACCATATTTTCAATATTAGATTGATTAATCTTTTCTAATGTTACATCTTTTAGAGTTTTTAGTTGGTTTTTTTCTGGCACTTTTCTTTTTCGAGGTACATAATCTTTTGAACAAATTGGTCGACCACGCTTCTAGAGCATGTGAGATTTATTTTCTTATAGCAGATTGTCCAATAGGGACAACAATTTTTGCTGAAATATTTTCTTCCGGTATATATGACTTTGTTATTTTTATTGTGTCAACAAATACATCAGGTACTTGATTTGTAACTTTTTGCAAATGAATGATTTATTCAACCTCTTACTCACATCAATTGCTGTGGGGATCAAAGTGAATTATAGTTACTTTATTTCAAGTAATTTTACCTTTTTTTCAGGGTGTATTTTCCCCTTCCAAACTTGGAAAAGTTATTTCATTAAAATGACCAAGTCCAAAAAAGTGCAGTAAATAAATCACTCATTAAAGATTCAAGATAACTAATAATTGATGGTAAATCAAAATCCACATAAATCCCAAGTTTTCATTAAGGACTCATTTTAGTATGTTGTGAGGGTGAAATAGAAATTTGGATAGCACAACCAAAGATTCGTAGGTGAGAAATATTAGATTCATGACCAAATGCAAGTTATAAATGTGAATATTGATAATAGGCAATTGGTCTTATATAAACCAATGATGCAGCATATAATATGGCATGATCTAAAATAGAAGCTAAGAGTTTTGCTTTCATGAGTAAATGTCTAGCAATACGTTGTAGACGTTTAATAAATGACTTTGCTAAACCATTTTGTGTATGGACATGCGCAATCAAATGTTCAATTATAATCCCAATTGACATACAAGAATCATTGAATGCTTGTGATCTAAATTCATAGCATTGTCGAGGAGAATAGTCTTAAT